AAACACTGGTGACCCCTGCCTCAACCTGGTTCCAGAACATTCCATCACCCCAGAAAGAAACCCTGCCCCATCAGCAGTTACTCCCCACACCCTCCCCAGCCCCTGACACCCTGAACCCGCTCTCTGTCTGTGGGTTTGCCTGTCCGGGACATGTCACCTAAACGGAATCCTACAACACAGAAACGGATGCAGCTCTGACTGCAGATGACAGTGAGGGGTTGGCCCCACGAGGACTCATTTTCCATCCCTGAAGCCACATGGCGGGACCTGGACCTGGGACATCGCCAGGGTCCCTGTGAGAGGGCGCATGGGCAGCTCCTTCCCGGCGGTGGAGCTGGGGGCGTTGAGAACCGGACATCTGTCTGCTTTGTGCTCATGGATGTGTGCGGGCGGGAGGCATCTGGGCTGGCTGGGGACTGCGGGGTAGTGTTCCCGGGGGACCATCCCCGGCTTCTAGGCCCTCACAGGGTGGGGGTGCTTCAGCCTCCTGGAATGTGCTAGAAGAGCTGCAGGCAGCCTGGGCAATGAGGAGCTTGGGGACACAGTGGGATCAGGGCCCAAGGGCATCAGGGTCGGAGGGGACAGAGTGAGGCTGACCATCACCCAGGAAGACACTCGGGAGGGCTGCCCCCTGCCCACAGGGCAGCTCCGGGCCGGGCCACCCCCACCCGCCACCCGCCTCCACCCGCGAGCAGAGACCCGGGATGTCACAGAGATGGGGCGAGGCAGGGACGGACAGGAAGACAAGCCGTTTCTCCTTCCTCCTCGGGCTCAGCCCTGTCCACCCCCTCGGCCTGCGACATGAGTCTCGCCGTGGGCGCCCAGACGGGGCAGGGCAGATGGCTCTGGACCCTCGCTGCCTCGCCCCGAGGCGGTGAGAGACGTCGAGTCCAGGGCCCCAGACCTGCCGCATCAGGACCCGCGTCTGCAGCAGGCCACCCGGGGGACACATGCACCTGCGCAATACCGGCGACGCTTGCTCAGAGTCACCCCCACCCCCGACCCCCACTCTCTGTGGGGGTGAGCATCTCCCTGTCCACATCAGCCCTCTCCCCCGGGGACACTGGCCACGTCTGGGGATGCCTGTGGCTGTCACACTGGGGGAGCTCCTGGCATCAAGTGGGTGGGGGCCAGGGATGCTGCTCAACCCCCCACAGTGCCCAGGACGGCCCCCCACAGAGAGGCATGCGACCTCCCATGTCCACAGTTTTCCTTTCAGATAAATTTACTGAAGTGCATGTCGTTATTTGGAGAAACTCTCCTCGGGGAGATCAACACCAAGCAAGTGCAAAGGCCCTGGGGCAGGTTTATGAAGCAATAGAGGTCCGGAGAGCCTGGTGACCTTCCAGAAGCTTGCTGCTTCCGGCTCCCCTGGGCTCTGCTCCCACCTCCTGCTTCTCCAGTGACAACCAGATGGTGGGCCTCCTGCGAGGGTGCCCGCGTGACCAGGGCTCCTCTGGCTAAGACGCCGCGGAGCATCGGCCCTGGGGCCCCACGTGCCTCCAGGTGCGCAACCTCAGTTTCCTCGACCCCGACCCCTTCCCGAGACGGCCGAGGGGTGTCAGCGGGTTGGGGAACAAGCTCGGGGAATGGGGAACGTCCAGGAGGCGAAATGCCAAGTTCAAGCTCCGGGACGGAGGTCAGGCTTGAGCTGGCCTGGACCCCACCCCCCCCCGCCCCTTGACCCGAGTCCATTTTGGGTGGAAAAAGGGGCCGAGAAAAACTCACCTCCGCTCACCAGCCGGCCAGGACCTTTTATTTTTCTTCTTTGAACGGCCTCCCGCTGTCAGAGCCCAAAGGCCACGAGCATCCTGCTCGAGTATCCATGGAGACGGGCCTGCCTCGGGCTCCACCCGCCCGCCCGGCCCTCCTCCGGGCTCTGCTCCCTGCCCGGCCCCGATGCCCCTCCGGGCTGCCAGGAACAGTCACCATAATAGCCGATTGCTGAGCGCTCAGCATGTCCCGGGCGCTAACCCTCACGAATTGGCTCACAGAGTCCACACCGGGGGCTTCATCCTGTTCGCCCTCCTTCCTCGCACTTGGCAAATAAGGAAATTGAGGCTTAGCTGCCTAGAGCGCGGGGAAGGCGGTGTGGGATCGTGGGAAGTGTGTGGGCTCCGGAGTCAGGCCAGCTGGGATGAAGTCCCAGCCCTCATGCTGTGTGACCTTGCACAAGTGACTTGACCTCTCTGAGCCTCAGTTTGTCCCTCCGCAAAGCAGGGATAGGAATAGGACTTACCGCTTATGGTTGCTGCAAGAATCGGGCAGGGCCCAGGGTCAGCTCACCTGCGGAGCAAACTTTAAGGGGGTGCCGGAAAACTCGGTTGTCAAGATAAAGAATATTTTAACATAGTTCTTAAAAAATCAAAATTAATGTCCCCCAAACCCATAATGAACAAAACGTCACCATTTTAAATAGTATCAGTGTTACTGCATTTTCATTTGGGCTCAGCAAGGCCTTCTTACTGATCCCATCTTTGTTTGAAACTAAAAATTAACTTTAATTTAAAAAGAAATAAAACAAATAAGTTAAAAAGTGCAATAAAATCAGGATGGGGAACAGGGCCACGCGGCGCCAATGGGGAAACTCAGTAAGACTGATCCTGTCTGTCTTTAAAATTTCGATATTTTGTCCTATTGTAACTTTTTGTGCATTAATTTTGATTTTTAAAAATATTGCATTAAATGCTTTTTGCTAAATGTTTTCTCAATTCAGTGACTTTTAGTATACTCGCAAAATTGTGCAACCATCATGTCTATCTAGTTCCAGAACATTCCATCAGCTCTGTCCCTATCAGTGGTCACCCCCACCCCCTCCCCAGCCCCTGGCCCCCACGAGCCCGCTCTCTGTCTGTGGATCGGCCTGTTCTGGACGTTTCCTGTCAATGGGGTCACACGCCGTGTGTCCTTCTGTGTCTGCTTCTCTCCCTGAGCGTCGTGTGTGCAGGTCCGTCCACGTGCGGCTGTGTCAGGGCCTCGCTTGTCTTCATGGCCGCGTAATATTCCAGCGTGTGGCAATGCCAGAAACAAAATGTGGTATGTCCATACAATGGAATATCATGCATCTTGACTGAGTTTTTTGATCCCTTCCCTTGGGTTTTATGCACGAGGTGAGTGCCTCACCCTAGTTCCCACCCTGAGGGTTAAATTAATATTTCGTGTAAGTTACTTAGCTCCGTGCCGGTGGTGGAGGTCCTGAGACCGTCCCCTCCAGCGCGACACAGACTCCTGCCCCCCAGTCCCTCAGTGCGGTGGTCCCCTGGCTACAGTCACTGACCTCCTCACTGTTCCTCCAGCTGTCAGGCAGTTTCCTGCCTCAGGGCCTTTGCACAGGCTGCTCCACTCACATCTTAGCTCAAGGGTCGTCCCCTCTGAGCAGCCTTCTCTGAATTTGCCTCCTAAAGCCGCCCCTCCACTCCCCTAGCTGTTTCCTTCTTCGCATTTATCATGGTCTAAAAGAATCTGTTTATTTGTGCCCATCGCAAAGGTTGGTTGTGTGTATTGAATGAGCTCACACGCGTCACGCTGTTAGCACAGAACCTGGTCTCGGGGAAGAGCCGTGTGGTTTATCAATAGACCAGTAAGTACGTAGCATATTAGAATCAAATTAAATTAAAATCGGTATAAATGCTCTGGAAATAAAAGGAAGCTTGAGAAGGGAGGTTTTGGTGTCTGAATGATTTTAGATGAATCAGACAGAGAAAGTGATGGGGCATTGAAGGACTGAGCCAGGCACCACTTGGGTGAAGGGCATTCCAGATAGAGGGCACAGCCTGTGCAAAGGCCCTGGGGCAGGCCCGGGCCTGGCGTGTGGGAGGAACAGCAAGGAAGCCCGTGTGGCTGGAGCAAAGGGAGGAGGGGGAGAGAGGGAGGAGGGAGGGCAGGGAGGGGACGGGGCAGGTCGTGCGGGGCCTGGGGGGCCACAGGGAGGACCCGGGCTTTAATTTGGGGACATCTTTGGAAGATTCTAGGCGGGGGTGTCATGACACCCACAGAACACGTGGCCTGAACGCGTCGATATCCTTTGAAACCTTTTGAACAGGGCACGCGCATACCAGTGATCAGAAGGGTTACTCCTGGTTGCTGTGCATGTAAACACAACTTTCCCTATTTCTGTTCCATAAATAATCAAAGCGCTGAGCACAGCGCCTGGCACATGGCATTATCAGTGTTCCTTTTTGTTGCTATTATTATTGTTAGTTATTATTATTATTAATTATTATTAATGAGTTATAAACTTAAAAGTGCTCGGAACAGCCAGATCGACGCCACGTGAGCGACCCATAGAACTGTAGCTACTCTTCGCGTTTTCCTGTTATCGGTGGGAGGAGCCGGTGCCACCTGGAAGCCGGGTCTGTCCTGCCCGAAGCTTCCTGGTCACCCACCCAGAAGCGGGGCCTGTGGGCCCGCTGGCCTCAGTTTTCCTGCTGGGACTGGGCACGGGGATGCGGGACGCGGGATGCGCATGGAGGCGGATGCGGGATGCGCGCGAGAGGCTGGATGCGGGATGAGCGCGGGAGGCGGATGATGGATGAGCGCGGGAGGCGGATGCGGGATGAGCGCGGGAGGCGGATGAGGGATGAGCGCGGGAGGCGGGATGCGGGATGAGCGCGGGAGGCGGATGCGAGATGCGCGCGAGAGGCGGATGAGGGATGAGCGCGGGAGGCGGGAGGCGGGAGGCGCGTGGGAGGCGGGAGGCGGGATGAGCGCGGGAGGCGCATGAGGGATGAGCGCGGGAGGCGGATGTGGGATGAGCGCTGGAGGCGGGAGGCGCGTGGGAGGCGGGAGGCGGGATGAGCGCGGGAGGCGGGAGGCGGGACGCGCGCGGGAGGCGGATGCGGGCTGTGCGATGCGCGCTCCGGCCGCCAGGGGCCGCTGCGGAGCCGCCCTTTTGTGGTCCTGATGCTGGAGCGAGCGGGCGCGCGGAGGAGGGAGGAGGGCGCGGGGACGGGGCGGGAGGGAGGCGGGAGGCGGCGTCCGTCGCTCCAGCTGCGAGTCCGCCCGCCGCCCGCCGCCGCCGCCGCCGCCGGCTCGGTCCCGCGCCCGCCGCCCGCCTTCGCCCGCCATGGCCCGCCTGACGGAGAGCGAGGCGCGCCGGCAGCAGCAGCAGCTCCTACAGCCGCGGCCCTCGCCCGTGGGCAGCAGCGGGCCCGAGCCCCCCGGGGGGCAGCCCGACGGCATGAAGGACCTGGACGCCATCAAGCTGTTCGTGGGCCAGATCCCGCGCAACCTGGACGAGAAGGACCTCAAGCCGCTCTTCGAGCAGTTCGGCCGCATCTACGAGCTCACGGTGCTCAAGGACCCCTACACCGGCATGCACAAAGGTGGGCCCCCTCCCCTGCGCTCTCCTCCCTCGGCCTCCCCACCCCACCTTCCGGCACCTTCTCTCCCCAGCCCTCCTCTCCTCACCTCCTCCCTCCGCTTCCCTCTGCCACAGCATCATTTCTTCCCCCCCTGTTCCACCCACCCCCTCCTCCCCGCTCTGGGGGTGCAGCTGACAGATCCGAGCTGGCCCCCTCCCCTCCTCCGCCCCCTCTCCCTCCCTCCCCACCTTCCGGCATCCTCTCTCTCTCTCTCTTTCCTTTTCTCTCCTCTCCCATCTCCCTCTACCTCCCATCCTCTCCCCCCCCAGCATCCATCTCTCTCTCTCCCTCTCCCTCCCATTCCCTCTAGACCCCCACCCCTTCCTCCCTCCCTCACCCACTCTTTCCTGCCCCTTTGCTGGGGGAGCTGTCTGAACAGCTGCCACCCCTCCCTGTCGCCCCCCCCCCATTCATTCGGCCTCCCCAGGCCCCGTCGGGGAACTTTGCACCTCTGCACTCCATTGCTTTGGGCATTTTCACAAAGCCAGGCCGGCGGCGGGGCAGGTCCGGCCAGCCGGCGGGGGGACACGGATGCCCAGGACCCCCGGCTAACCGGTAACTACAAAGAAAGCGGAGGTGGGGGGCGCGGGGAGCTGAGCCAGGCTGGGGGTGGGGGAGCGCCGGCCGCGGGTGGATCAAATGCTACCGCTTGCCCTCCCCCCCCTGCCCACCCTCTCTGTTCCCAGCAGCATCCCCCTCCCTCCCTCGGCCCTCCCCCCCACCCTTGCTGCCTCCACCTTTGGCTCAAGTTAAAACTGGCCGAGCCTGGGAGCAGTGTGTTGAGGTCTGAGGCCAAAGACGATGAGCCTGGCCGGTCCATCTGGCAGAGCCCGGATCCCTGGCGGACAGGGAGGCGTGGGCGACCTGCGAGCCCAGCGGGGGAGGCCGGTGGGGTGGGGAGGCCTGCCCGCCGCCCTCCCCCGACTCCCTCTCTGATGGCATGCCAGGAGGGGGTGCCCAGGGACGGTGACCCCAGCCCTGGGTCCCATCACGGGCCCGGTGTCTGAATTGGAGCGGCTTGGACAGCATCCTGTCGGGTGTTGGGGACTAGGGGGTGGCGGGGGCGAAGGCTTTGTTTTGGACACCCCTGGTAAGACCCTGGAGGAACCTCGGGGGCGGACCAGGGCCCATGACCTATTTCAGACCCCATTTGTCCCCATCCTTCCTCCGTGTTGCAGGCACAGGAAGCATGACTTACATGTTTGTTGAATGAATGAATGAATGAATGAATGGATGGATGGATGGATGGATGGTGGGTTGGGACAGGCCACAGGGAGAGTGTGGCGGGATGGAGCCCAGGCCTGTCACTTCGGCTCGACCCCCCCAGCTGGTACCCTGGGGGTGGAAAGGAACCCCTCCCCTCCCCCACCTCTTTTCAAATCCAACAATCACCAAAAAAAAAAAAATTGAGCCTGGAATATGTCGCTCCTCCATGTGGCCTGGGAGGGCAGTGGGCTCACACCCACCCGGGAGTCAAGCTCAGGGGTCCACGGCTTCATGGAGGGCTCTTTGCACACGCCCCCACCCCCTCGTGTGTCTGAAGGGCCATTTCTAGAAGGAATCTGATGGGAGTGGGGGTGGTGTCCACGTGGCCCCCCAAATGTTGAATGGAAAGGCTGTCGGTGAGCTCTGGGTCAGGAAGAGAGATGGGGTGCAGGGGACGGAGACGCGGGGGGCTCCTTCTGCCCTTCCCCAGTTTTAAGTGTCCCCCAGAAATCCCCCCGCCCCCCAGCGAGGAGAGGTGGGGGCCCTGTGGCTGAGTTTTCAGCTGGCCCGGAGCCTCAGTTTCCCCACTGTCACCAGAGCAGGGCCCGATGAAGGTGGGGTATTTTTTTCCGGCTGGAGGATGCCAGGATTGGGGGTGCTTCAGGGTCTTTCCCGTTTCCGAGCTTTCCTTGGTGGGTGGAAATTGGGAAGCGGGGTGTCCGTGACACCCAGCCCTCACCCTCCGCTTCAGAGGGGCCCTGGAAGCTGGACCTGGGGGTGACAACTGGTGGGCTTCCCCTCGTGTCAGCCCACCAGTACCCTTGGGTCAAGAATGGATCCCCGCCTTGATGCCACCTGTCTGGGTGTGGCGGGACCTCACCTGTGGGAGGGAGCTGGGGGGCAAGCTGGAGCGGGGGGCGTCTTGAGGGCCAGTGGCTGGGAGGCAGGCCTGGGTTTGGGGCACAGCTGTGTGACCTCTGGCCAGTGGCTGCCCCTCTCTGGGACTCAGCCGAAGGGAAGTGGAATGACGGATGGGAGCCGGGGGAGAGGGCAGGTCCAGGCACCTCCCGCCAACACGTCTCTGGTTTGGTTTCTGGGGAGTCAACAGGGTCCAGGATGCGCTGTTGGTGCCGGCTCAGAGTGGCAGGGGTGGGGGGTGTGGACCCCGGGGGTGGAGGGAAATTCCCCCAGGGCCTTCTCGGCCCCGGATGCTGGGGGATCCCGCGAGGCTGGGCATCGGGGCAGCTGAAAGGGCTGGAGCGGGCCGAGATGCTAAAGTCCATCTGGGGTCCTGTGACCCCGGCACCCAGCGCGGGAAGGGCCCCCTGGCATCGTCTTTATCCTCGTGACCACCCCATGCTTCGTTCTCATATCCAGGGGCCCGTCTGTGATCCCTCACCCCAGGGACCACCACTGAGGCGGGCTTGCGGGTGTCAGCGCATCTTGTAGAGAAGGGAAACTGAGGCCCAGAGGGGCAAATACTGATCCCAAGATGACCAGAGCTGGGCCCCCGTCAGCCCCCGGCCTCCCTCCCAGGCCCAGGGAAGCGGGAGTGAATGTGTGTGACGGAGGGGCGACGGGCTCCCCCCAGCTGAGGCTGAGGCCCCCAAAGATGATGTTGGGGGGGAAGGGGGCTCTGATGGCCACGGCCAAGGGTTGGGCAGAGGCACCCCGATTCCCAAGGGCCTGTGCCAGGCGGGAGCGCCGTGGGACCAAGAGAAAGGCAGGGGGTCCAGCTGGGCCCTGAGGATGGGGCGGCGGGGATGGGGGGAGACGGAGGGAAGTGAGGGTTCCTCAGAGAGAGGGCAGGCCCGTGGGCGCTGGCTTTTTTTGTTTTTAGGAGAGAAAGATGGAGACAGAGAGAGACACAGAGACGAGAGAGACAGAGAGAGGGAGAGACGGAGGGAGGAGAGACACAGGGAGCACCCCCCACAGGGAGCGAGATGGAGAAAGGGGAGCAGCTAGGCCACAAGACCGCTGCCCCCCCCAGATCTGCGCCTCATCCCGAGAAACGGGGTCTCCCCGGGGGCCCCAGCCCAGGCTGGGGGCTCAGGCCAGGAGCTGGGGGGCTGAGATGTGGCTCCCACTGGCCGGGGCCGGTCACCGCCCCTCCCGTCTCCTGCTGGGGGACACGCATCCCTGGCCGGGGGGGGGGGGGGGTGTTGGGAGCACGTGGGGTCCCCGAGGCGCCCAGAGAGCTGTCCTCCTGCCACCGGCCCCATCCATGGCGGTCGCATGTGCATTTGCATGTTAATGACAATATTTGTCTTAAAGCGGAGGTTGCAGGGGGGCGGCGGCGGGGCCGGCGGGGGCCTGCGGTTTCCATGGGAGCGCCAGCTGCTCGGCTCCGCGCAGGGGAGGCTCTGAGGCGTGAGATTCCAGTGTGACGTGCCAGCCCCAGGGGGACGCGCCGCCTGGCAAGGGGTGCGGGGGGGGGACCGAGGGAGGAGCGGCTCTCCCCGCGGCGGGGGGCACAGGGACCGCGTGGGGGGCTGGGGGTGAGCCACCAGGACTGGCTGCATGGCTTCCAGTCGGGCGCGTCCCTCTCGGTGCCTCAGTTCCCCCAGCCGCCCATTCTTCATTGATGTAACAGGCTGTTGTGACGCCCCCTGGGGCCTGACAGGTGACCGTGACATCGTTTCTGCCTTCCTTCAGGCAGAGGACAGTGATTAAGCGCCTACTGTGTGCCAGCATCTGTTCACACGGAATCCCTCTGGGGTTCACGATGGCGTGAACAAGACATGAATCCATCGACCACAGAACCGACATTTATTGAGCACTTGCTGTGTACCAGGTCTCCTCCCAGACCCAGGATACCATGTTGGGCAAAACAGATAAAATTCCCCCCCCCCCGGGACCCCTCCTACTGCCAGATCTGAGTCTGGTGGGGGGACCCGGGGAGGAACCAGGCGGTTTCGAGGTGTCGCTCTCAGGGCTGCGATGGCGGAAACACAGCGGCGGGGATGACCCAGAGGGGGCCCCTGCCCCTGTGGGCGTGGAGACCAGGAGGGCTTACTGGAGGAGGCGGTCAGGGTGGGAGAGCAGCTCGGAGCTGGGTGTTGAGACAGACGAGTCTGGTTTCTCTGTGTCTTACCGGCTGCGTGGACTTCGGCTGCATCCTCGTCTCTCTGAGCCTCGGTGTTGCCGTCTGTGGAAGGGGGAGGCCGATGGGCTCCCGACACAGAGCGGGCTGGGGGAGGTGAGGACGGGAGCGGCAGTGAATCTTGTGGCACAGGGCCAGGCGCGGAGTCCGTGCTTGCGCAGTGGGAGCTGGGCCGATTCTGTGACTACGCCGAGACCCGCAGGGGACAGGGGTCTGCGGATGGGAAAGGCGTTCCTGGCAGACAGCACGTGCAAAGGCCCAGAGGCACGCTCAGTCTGGAAGCTTCAGTGTTTGGCCTGGTGAGAAAGGCACAAAGGGCCTTGGGAGCCCCGGGGTCCCCTTCTGACCTGGGGCTCATGGGGCAGGACTTTTCTGAGAAGTTCTGGAATTGGGGGTGGACCCAGGAGCAATCTCGGAAGTAGGCTCGTGTCTCTCTCTTTCACCCCGATATTGGCTGATGGGAACCTGGCCACTGGGAACACTCAGTAGGACCACACCCATTCATTCATTCATTCAGCCAACATTTCCTGAAAGCCTTTCGGGGCCTTACCTTGTACTGAGCAAGAGAAGTCTGAGGGCCCCTGATGGAAGGACGGCTAGTCCTTGGCCCCTCCAGACACGGTGGTCAGTTCTGGGTCAGAGGGCGGGATGC